CAGATTCACAACATCTGCTAACCTTCACGATACCGCGAATGGAAAATGAAGAAGAAACTATTGATTTATTAAATACTAAGAAGAATGTTATGCAGCAACGACATGCCAATATCACCTCAGCCAAGTTGTCGTTAGATGCGGCGGTCAACAGCTTTGAGGAAGCCTTCGACAAGCTAGACGACCGCACCCAGCAGGAAGAGCAAGCGTCACAAGAGACGTATCTCGACAATGCATGGGATTTGATCACTACAGCAGAAGCTTTGCTCGGCAAACTAGCCGAGAAGGAGATAGAAGTCTCCACCACGTTGGAGAACTTGAAACAAATTGAACTTAGAAGACAAAGAGGAATAGAAAGAGCAATAGCACCTCAAGACCATCTCATGGTTTAGCTTCCCGCGTGACGAAACACTGTCTATGGAGCAGTTATGTGCGCCCATTGTTTGCATGCTCGCTGCATTTTATGGAGCTCCAATCCCAATCACATGGGCCGATATAGGTGACGTATGTGTTTATATCTGGAAGAACACCGCAGGGTGGCTCGCGAATGAGTACTGTCTCGGAAACGATTTCCTGAAAACAGGTATGTACTCACATTATTTTTCTGACCCACAAGCGTATCCTTGGAAGGGTGTATCTGAGGTTAAAGCTCGCACAAGGCCGAACTTTCTGGACCTCTTGGACAAGGATCAATACACCCTTATGTCGGATTTGTTTATCGTTTGGAGATTCTGACTCAGCGGAGGCCTCGTCTAGAGGTGAACAATCAACATCGGCTGCAGAAGCTCCGACCGTACCGCCGTCAGGGTCAGTTAATGATACACAACAGGACGGTTCTGTTCAAGCTTCATCAAGCAGACTTGACTTTTGGTCAGTTCGCCTAAAAGGATCATCACATTCGGCCCAGCAATTTCCTGGCTTAGCTGATATTAGCCCTCGTGAACGTGCAGTTGTCGAACTCGTCAAACGTCTGCATTCTCGAACTCAGCTAATGTCGTCCGGTGTGGCGCTATCATACCTTTTAACCCGACTTGTCGCCAAATTGGTACAACACGCGATCAATCACGGCGCGAACTTTTCGGTATCATTTGCTAAGTACTCTTTGGACATTGATCCTAACACAACACTCGATCTCGTCTATCCGTGCATCTATTACTCCGTTCCAAGCTACCGTAGCTGTCTATTGCAAACAGTTGATGAAGCTGTTTCGCAAAAGCGCATCCTGCCCCCGCCTAAAGCATAAATTCAGTTAAAGGCACTGATTGTCCTATTACGGAATGATAATGCCCGCTT